ATTATTATTAATATTATAGTTTTTTCCAGATGAAATGTACACTTAGGAAATACAAATGCCCCATAGCAAGTTCAAATGCCACGTAGAAAGTTTCACGCAACATACTCGTAGATAGTTCTAATGTTCAATAGGAAATTTTAGTGCAACTTTAATGCGTAATAAGTTCAAATGTACAAATAGCAAATTCAAATGTAACACAATAGCAAGTTCAAATGCCGCATAGCAAATGCAAATATCCCCCACAAAGATTAATCAGCGTGAAAAGCATTTTTAATGTGCTCAAACTGAGTTGACGACAACCATAAGTAGTATCCTTTTAGGGTGAATAGATCAACATAAAATCAAATCCCGAGGATGCTCCCGCAGAAAGAAATTCAGATAGGACTGAAGCATCCAGATAACAATATGCAGCATGGCTGATGCAGAACATTTAGCGGTATGAGTTTGCCTTCATCGATGAGGCTGGTATCAAGCTGTTGACGAAGAAAAACCGAGGAAGAGCACGGAGTGGTCAATGCTTTGTTCCAGTAGTGCTGGATCGAAGGGGACTGAACCGCACAATGACATTTGCTGTCAGTGCTGAGGGTGGCCTGGTCTTTAGCGACTTTCAAGTAGAGGGAATGGCAGCTATCATTTCAACCCATCCCTCTAAGAAACTCTTCCAACAATCCCCACAACGAAGTATGCTCGGCATGTAACAACGCTCCTGAATTAAGGCAAGCTTTAACAACTCATCAATAGATCGGTGGTGAAATATCTTCCCCCCTACAAACACTTTCTTAGCATCTACGAGAACGCTTGTGTTATCCTACCCATTCTTTTTTTGTTTTAAATTGTTAATTTTAATTTTAATTTTTTCATTTTTCATTTTTTGCTTCGTTCAACAGTTTGGTTTCGTGAAACAGACTGGAGGTGAAATATCTTGCCACCTGCATACCAAGTCTTACCTTCTGTGAAAACGTTTCTTAATTTGGACATACGATTAGGTGGCGTGGGTAGCATAGTGGTTAGGTTATCGGACCTGTAATCGTGAAATTCGGGTTCGGGGGTTCGAGCCTCAGTTCGGCTCGGCGTTGTGTCCTTGAGAAAGGCACTTTACACGAATTTACCTTTTGGATCGGTCCTTTCGGAGATAGACGTTGATCTCGGAGGTCCTGCCTCTTAAATAACCTAATAGCAATATCATTTCCCAATTGAAACATTATTTTTTGGAAATACGATTTGAAACAGATGTTTACTGAAGCAAGAGACTAAATGATCTCCTAGCAGACTCACCAACAAAGGATGGTAACACTTGACCAGTTGATGGAATAAAAAACCCAAGCTGTCACTATAGCGAAAATGGCAGCAGTCTTCAGATCAATGCAAGCCTATATGCTACAGCGTTTTGTTGTGCAACAATAAGCAAATAAAAGTAAACAAACATGGCTTTATATTTCACGCAGCTACTTTTATAAACACCAGCAGTTTGTTGATTTTTATCCTAACCATTCGTGTCTGTTTAAACATGTGTGTTTATTTTCGAGTTTTTAAAAAATTAGAATTTTTTTTATTAGTTTCGTTTCACCTGATTTCTACCTCGTGCCACC